AAGAAGAAGAAGAAGAAGAAGAAAAAGAAGAAGAAGAAGAAGGAGTACAAAAACAAAAAAATGAAGAAAGGAAAATGTAGAATGAATAAAGAAGGAAAAAAAAGGGGGAGATAAACAAAAAAGGGGAAAAAACAAAAAAGGAAGAAGAAAAAAGAGAGCGAAGAAGAAACTGAACTTTATATATTAAATATTGTAGCGGAGCAGAAAAATCAATCTTTTCACTTGTCCTGACTAAAAAGCACCGTTTTTCCAACTTCATGACATTAGTTGGCCGATCTTCTGCACACAGGTTAAAGTATTCAAATCGAGGCTTCCATTTTATGTTCTTTCGTCTCAGTTTTAAAATTGGCCAATGCTAAGAGCAACTAAAGAGTCTTCAGACGCAAATAAAAAACCTCAAAAAATTTTTATTTCTTTTAAAAAAATATTCTTCAATTTTTCGTTTATTGTCGTTACTCTTTGGGATACTCATCTCTACTGCAAATATACTGCAGGTTGAGTAATGGATAGCGGCTCGGATTGAGAAATCAGAGAGCCGAGTTCGAATTCCAGTCAAATCTATTGCATTCACTTACGTGCTAATACCCTTGGGAAAGGTATGAACCCTATTCTTCTCCCCCCAGCTATAGGTAAATAGCAGGATAGGGTTATATAGCCTTGGATGGCAACTGGTCTACGTCAGAAAGAAATGGCAACCTACTGCGGGAAAAAAACTGCCTCGTCAGTCATGTATCAAAAGATAGATGATCGCCTAAGTGTATATCACGCATGGCACATAACTGAATGGAAATATCCAACAGCTGAAAAGAGAAATAAAAATAGCCTAAACAGATCAGGAACATTTTTTTTTCTTTTTACCTGCTATGTCCTTTCAGAGCGTAGACGATCATGGCTCTCCACCTCACTCTATCCCTTGCAGCACTCAGCAAGCTCCCTCCGCTTGCTACCCCAGACCACGTTCTGTCATCCACCTGCTCAAACTCGCGAGGTATATAACGCGCTACTTTCATTGTCTCTCTTTCCCTCTATTCGACACGTGAGTATCAGATTCTCCAGGCTCTCCTTCCTCATTATGTAAGCTCAGAAAGCTGCCTCTTCCTGATGTTAAGTGTAAGCCTTCTTCTTGTTTGCCACCTCTCTAAGATCTCAACGTTGCTCACATGCTCGGTCCATGATATCCTTAGCATCCTTCTGTAGAACCACATCTCCGTCGCCTCGAGTCTCTTCTTTATTTTTTTCATTCTCTGCCGTAAAGAAGGACGGTTGTCATGTAACAGCTTAGTATTCTTTTTTTTTTCTGTTACCAAAGAAATCCTCCTGTCTAGTAATTCTTTGCCCAGCTTTTGGAATGCGTCCTTGGCCATCCCAATACGCCTACAGATCCCAGTGTCGGTCTTACCATCCTCTGCGAAAACGCTTCCCAGATATTTAAGCTTTCGCATCTGCTTGATACTAATGTTCCCGACATTCAAATCGCGTTTCGTGCTGATCCTCTTACTGAGGCCCATGCATTCTATCTTCTTGTAGTTTATGCTTAGTCCCTTCTTCACACTCTCCGACGCTACCTTCTGTAATAGATTTTGTAATTTCTTTTCCGTGTCTGCTATCAGTACTGTGTCATCTGCGTATCTTATGTTGTTAAGGTTGTGGCCGCCAAATCTCGCTAGGTTTTACAAGTTAAATACTGGTAACTGTACGAGCAAATCCTGTTCGACAACGCAAGCAAGATATTTCCAAAGAAAATAAAATTACCCTTGCTTTTTGTCATTGAAACTGTTGTCAGATTATTCAATGTTCTATTTAGCGTCTGAAACCTTATTTATGCTGCTACTGCTAAGCCCGGACTAGCAGAAAACAGGTCACGTGATGTAACGTCTTATTTATTGACTAATGAAAATGCTGTATGATATATAATTTCCAAAAAACTATCAGAGATCAGAAAAAGACTACAGATGTAAATGTTAGGTAGCTTAAACCAACTTAACAGTCAGTAAGTAATTTCTACTACTACACCTTACATATAGACAAAACTTTTCTCACACGAACATAATCAACGAAATGTTTTTCTTCGAGAGTTAACAATTATATTTTTAATTTTTGTCCATAGAAAATTCCTACCAATACTGTTATGGTCCAAGTTCCTTGTACCACGGTGATGGTCCAAGGTTAGAACCAATGAAAGAATAACACGAACACAGGTATGGAATACAAAGATATATTACAACAGAAATATAATACAAAGAAGTAGAAGTATTAGTCATGACTATCAGATTTGGTTAGACTGAACTGAGTTGTCTCGACAAGTATCACTATTCCAATGTCCTTACAATATGCTCTCAATTATCTCTCCTCGTCTTACAATCTGCTGATACCTCTTGAGAGCCGCAGTATTTATAATGTCAGGAATAGTCCATTATTATTATAGGTAAGTTCCCATAACACACACACACACACACACACACACACACACACACACACACACACACACATATATATATATATATAAAGAAACATAGTTCTAAGGTGTGCTATATTTATGGGATAAAGTGCTCAATATCAGAGATAGAGCGTATCTAAATATAAATATAAAAGTGAACATTGAACACACACACACTCACTCACACACACACACACACACACACACACACACACATATATATATATATATATATATATATATATATATACTTGAGTCTCGCGTCGAATTCGACGTATTAGGGTCAAGCAGATCAGTTCCTAAGAAACTGACGTCCCGACGCAAGCACATGCAATTTGATTATAGTGGCGAAGGTTTTGTGTAGAACCATTCACATATTTTAAGGGCCGAGTACAACACTTGGTGCACTACGTGCCACAAGGTCCCCAAACAACCCTCCGCAGGTTTTGAATTCAGAGTTGTCCTTCTCCTAGACCAGTTGCCACCCAAGCCTATAGAACCCAGTCAGTTCTGCTATTTAAATGAATTTAAAATTTACACTTTTGACGGGCAGTATTAAGCTTATATAAGTTGAATTAGAGGGTGACGAGGAATGGTGTGAGAGACATGGTCGAGCTTAGAGAGGGAAAGGAGAGTTTAAAATTTATCTTTATATTTATTTTTATTACAATATTTAATATTGAGGAAGGAGTGGATAAGGA